GGAGTTCCTGATACTCCCTTCTTTCCTCATTGGGGAATCGTGGTCCCCTTGAGTTGCAGGAGAAGGGGGAGAGAAGCCCTGGGCCTGGCTGTGGTGACAAAATGCAAGTTGAAGGTCTCTTGGACCTGCTGGGCCCCATCACTTCAGGGAGAATTCATCCCATCTGTGAACCAGACAGCAGTGAGTCAGAGCCAAGAAGGCAGCTCTAGCTCGCCTGACTCCCAGTGCAGTGCCTGTCATCATGATTTGACGTTGTGCCCATGTTGTGCCAAGCCAGGAAGGGGATCAAACTTTTCTGAGTTTGACTCCTGGACTTCTCTGCTGTCACCGATGAACGTCGCCCTTCCCCCATCTCTCCAGCAGTCACTGGCATGGAAAAGTGATGTTAGGGAAATGTTCTGTGTATTTTTAGCTTCTTTTAGTCATGATTTAGCAACTGGAAACAAGGAGGGGAGCCAATATCGCATAACCAGCCAGCACTACATGGACTCAGCGTGGGAACCATGGTGCCAGGTACTCTACAGACCTGCAAAGGAGCCATGTTTCCTTGATTAGTGCAATTGCACCAACAAGAATCAGAAAGCTACGTTGTACAAATGCATAATAAGAGACAGACCCTATAATCCACAGAGACCACACAGGCCAACTGTGGGAAGGAAAATTATGTCTCCTAACTAATTTTAAAATGAAGCTTGATGAATTGAGGAACGGGGTAGCTTGTGATAGCAGGAGACTGGAATTGCTAATCCAGAAGATCCCTTCCAATCTGTGTCCATGTGTCACCTGACAGGTCAGTGACAGGAAATGGATTGGACCACTGAACCCTGAGCAATTTGCAATCTAACCTGGCACAAGCAGTGTTTTCTCAAGATGTGGCCTGCTCAATCCTTTGTCTTTTGGATGAGAATGTCAACAAGGATGCAGCATCAAATATACAGAGACAAGGATGCAGTCTACAGACATGACGCCAAAAAGTTGTCAGCCGGGGATGACTTTTTGGGTCCAGAATCAAATATGTAAACCTAGAAGCAGATAAAATCCCTGTATTCCAACACAGATTATCTGAGACAGTTCTTTAATCCCTAATCTGTGGTGATTGTTTGGGTGTTCAGATTCGAATGTTCCCAAAAGAAGCTTCCCTGAAAAAAACCTTTGTTGAGCTTTGTGGAGCTTCCTAGTGGAAATGGTCCCACAAAAAGAAATGAAGAATTAATATCTTATCTGTAATTAACTGAGTGGCCCATGGTTGCCTCTCATTGGAAAAAGAAAAATAGCCTAACCATGGATAAATAGTTTAAGAAATATTAGAAATTGTTGGAAAATATTGGAAAAATACAGCAATTGTGGACGCAAAATAGACAAAGGACGGCTATATTCTTAGATATCTGGCTACCTTTTATTCAGTACTCAAAGCACATTCATCTGCAAAACAAAACAACAACCAAAAAACTGGACACGTGTGCAAAATGTTTTGAATATTAATATTAGATAGTCATACCTGATACTTTAAATGCATATATACAGAGATTTCACTCAGTTTAACAAAGTCACTAAAAATGACATTGGTGTTATAATGGTGCTTTTTTGGTAACATGGTTGGTAACACCTTATTAAATAAAAAGACTGGATGACTATATACCTGTGTAGTGTCTCTTGAAGCAAAAGCTAACTGCCGTGATGATTATTTTGTTTCTGATATTTACACAACAAGGATTTGTAAACTTGTTAAAACTTCCTAAATAAATAATTAAAAAATAAAAATAAACTGCTGCTCTGGTCTTTCTGATGGTATTAATGCATAACATTTCTATAATGTTTTTATGGCTAGGTCCTCAGCTGATGTAAACCAGGAGAGCTTTACCTAAGTCAGTGCGAGTATACCATCTTACACCATCTCAGACGTCGACCTTTAATCTTCAGCACACCACATTACTGCCCAATTAATCTTCACCGGGAGACCAGTGTGTATTGTTACACGCAAGTGATTATCATCATTTTTGTTTCACAGAGAGGGAAATGGTTCTGCTTAAATGCCATGGTGGGGTGGGGAGGAGAACAGAAGTATTAGAGCTAGGGGTTAAAATGATGTACAGTCCATGCTCAGAAGTAAAGTGGCTTCTATCCATTTCCCCAAACCTTGACACATCTTGTAATTTTTCCATCTCACGGTATTACAACCTTCCCAAAGATTTTTTTTAATGTGCAAAATTATATATTAAAAATTATACATGTATTTAAAAAATATATAGCTATACAGTATGATACTATCATATATAATTTTGCACATTAAAAAAAATCTTTGGAAAGGTTGTAATACTTAACTAAGTTCACATTTGTAGGGTTAACATTAACATGATATTTTTGCCAGACTTAAAATCCACCCCTCTGCCAAAGGCTACCCAAGGCCTATGCCCCTGTTAAAGCCTATTGCAAGCAAGTGACTGCTCTGGTTACTACCATCTGTATATTATCCTGAGTAGCCCTACAGTTGGAATTACTTACCATAGTAAATCCTATGCCACTATGATAATAAGTAGTAAGCCAGAGTTCAGTTTCAGAAATTGTTCAGGCCCAATTGAAATTTTACTCCCTTATGCTGGGTGCTGCACAAGTGTGTAGCAGAGGAGGCAGACTCTGCCTTGAAGAGCTTACAGCCTAAATAAACCAGACTGCCACACGGAAAGATAAAGTGACTTGCCCTAAATCCTTTAGCAAATGCATGGCAGAGCTGCACATTTAATCCCTTTTCCCTGAGATCCCAACCAGTGTCTTACCTGCGAGACCATGAAGTAGTAAATGCTACATGTTTTCTAGTTCATGTTTGCAAAAATGAGCTGTGGTGAAAGCCTGGCCCTATGGAAGCCACATCCAAAACTCCCATTAATTGCACTGGAGTCAGCATTTTGCCCTCTGGTTCTTTAGGATTGAATGTGGCATTCTCCTATTGTTGTAGATCGCTACACAACTTTAACATGTTATTAAAGAGAGAGAAAAAAAGTGTTGATTTAGAAAACCAGCAGGGAAGAGGCCAAGGCTGTGACAGTAGCCTTGAAAGATTTTTCCAGTGCAAACAGAGGCAGTTCCCTTGGGGGAAGTGGAGACTGGATATGTCCGTATCGACTCTTTGATCCTCTTGCAAGACAAAATGTGATAGGCGAACCATTCTGATAAACACTACAACTTCTCTATTAGTACCATGCTATGTTTCTTCGGTGGTCTCCCTCTGACAGTTGCTGAGCTACAAAGAAACACCAAACAGAGATAGGAGACAGAGGTTAAAAAGAAAACAAAACAAAACACACAACCCACCAAACCATTCCCTGGGGAATATAAACCAGGAGCCACAAACAAGTTTAAGAAGAGTTTTTATCATTGTCATGAATTTGTGTCTTGTTCTTGGTGTGTATTTTTAACGGTATGATAATACCATATTAACCACCTTGCAAACATTAAATTAGCAGCTTGAAAAACAGATTATCAGATGCCCTTTAATTTTTCCCCCTTCCAAGCAGCTAACCAGAAGACGAAATAAGCCAAAGATCATGAAATCAACTGGAAAAAAAACTCTCCAAAACTCTTTGTCTATTGCATTTTAAAGCCAAAGAGTAAAACCTGAGTCCACCCCTTTTGCCTCCAAATTCCTCCAGAACCCTTGGCTTTTAGCACCGCCAAGGAACTGTTTCAACATGAATGAATGGGATCAGCGCCCATGCTCCTGAAAGGCTGTAGGGGGTGTTGAATTAAATATAAAAGGCACAGAGGGAAACATTTGGTTGGCAAGCAGTGTTTCCCTGCAGGCAATGGGCATATCCTATGTGGGTATTTATGACTATTCTGCAGGGGGAATGGAGCTGAGAATTAAGCAGCTAACTGAACGTTCCTAGTGATGAGCATACAAATACAAACCCTTTCCTACCAGGTTTAACACAATTAATAGACATACAGAACTGATGGCTATATTACGATTATGAAAATTATGTCTGCAGTTATAATGCTGGTAGGTAGTTTTCCCTGTGTAAAAATTGCATGATAATGGTCACCTGTCTCGGATTACTATCTTTTTTTTCCCAGATAGATTTCCCGGAAATGTGCAAGGGAGGCTGTCTACCTTGGACCAACATTGCCATGGGGGTCTTTACAGTTCAAAAGTTTGGTCTACAATGTGCTTTATTCAGAAAGTAGTGACTCAGTACTCTGGCCCTTACTATGATCGTAGCAGTTCTTTCTGGTCTTAAAATATATGAAAATTTCTCTCCTGGAACTGACAGTCATAAAGAGAGATAATAGAGGAGAAAAATTAATAATCATCACACTTTCCCTATAAAAATTGAAGATAAATTCTTTCCCACCCAATCCCAAATTGTAATTTTATTTGCTTCTTCTAGGCAGCAGAGTATTTGAAAATTGCAAAAGTTTAGAGACAGGCTGTGACGTTTCATATGCTTAATTGTTCCCAGGACTGTACCTTTGCCTTGTGGTGGGATTAGCATTTGTGCCCTCTTCTTTTATTTTAATATACAGAAAACAAAACAATTAGGGGTATAATATGCCTGAGAAGGAAAACAAAAGGGAGAAAGTTTAACAAATACAAATAGGGAACTACAGGATCTGTTAGGAGTGCCTCAATTAGGCCTTGGTCCTACAACTGAATCTGCTAGTATAGATCCATGCAGGATTGGGGTTTTTATTTTACGTGTTGCATTTTTTAATGTATGAGGATAGTCATAGAAAACCAGATGCATTTGAAAAGACGATGGAATCCGAAAAGATTGCATCCCTTCTTCCTTTAGGAGGTCTTATTTTGGAAGTGTGGGGAAAGGGCATTTGAAATACTGATATTTTCAAAGAAAAAAAATAAAACTATAGAGACTGTATCCCTTATACATTTACTTTAGGAGCTCCCTGATTTTAAGGAACACAACCAAATAGCTTACGAAAATGCAAAAAAAAAAAAAAAAAAAAAAAAAAAAAAGTTTGGAATTTCCCAGTTCTAGGTAGAATTTTGTACTTAGTTAAGTCTATTGCAAAACTCCTTGTCATCTCATGGGAACAGACTCTTTAATATTAATGGTCCAGTCCTGCAAACAGATTACATATATCTGTAACATTTTCAGGATCAGGCTCTGTGGAGGTGCATCCAAGTTGTAGTTAGGGCCCAAGCCCACACGTGCTTACTAAACACATTGCTATGGGGATTATGCACTGGAATAAACACTGGACAGGATCACTGAACCCCTATTTTGCCATTGATAAGGACTGTAAGCCTATGGAGTTGCAGGCGCAATGCCAGTCACAGGATCAGGACCATAGAGTTCTGTGTACCTTATACTTTTAGGAGCACCCCAATTCCATTTGCGTTTTGGAGGTGTCTGTAAAAAACCTAGATGGGTTTGGAGTGCTTGCTGTAAGTTTAAGAAAAATCTCCCCCCTCCAAAAGCAGAGCCTTAAAAGAAAAATAAAAAAGGTACAATTACATTCTGCCCCCTGATTTTATCTGGGTGACATAAAATTCAGGGGGGAAAGCTAACTATAAAGAAAGGGCGGTTTTTCTTAATAGAAAAGCGAGGGGGGGAAATCTCATTTTTGTGTGTGTATGTCTGTGTGAGAGTGTAAAACCTTCTTGAAAAACACCAAGGAAAAGACAGAGTTAAATCTGTCCCCTCGATGCACTTCACTGAATTTGGACCGAGTTTAAATTATTTTTTTTCTTGGTTCTTCCTTTCTTGCCCTAAGCCTAAAGAAAAAAAAACCCTACTCCCTTCTGAAGTATTTAAAAGTAGGAAAGGAAGGGGAAAAAAGAAGGCCCCCCTTCTCTTATCTTTCGCATGAACTAGTAAAGCAACCAAAAAAAAATATATATATATATATGGTGTTACTAGTATGGAACTAGTTAACCTTTAACAATTTATGCTGATGTCACACTGAGCATGAGTACTGATTAATCCCAGCCTTTTCTGTCCCCCCCCCTCGTAAAAATATTTTTATTGAGGGAGGAGGGGAGAAGTATAAGAAAAAAGAAATAATTTAGAGCAGCCATCTTTGTTTTATGCAGAAATCTTTCTCTTTCAGTTCCCCCCCCCCAGTGCCAGGAATATACAAATATTGTTCATCTATGCAATGAGCTGAGAGACTCAAACAAGCAACAATAAGGAGAAAAATTAAGATAAGGGGGAGGGAATCTTTTTTGTTGTGACTGTTTTGGATTGATTTTTGAGGGGGGTTTTGGGGGATTTTTTTCTGTGAACCTCAAGGAAGAGGTGTGTATGCCGTGGGGAGGGGGGGTGACTTAAAATCAAGCCAGCCATTTTGTTTTTTTTTTAATAAAGAAAAGGGTGGGGGATTTTTCCCCCCTTTTTCCCTCCTGGGGGGGGTCTGTTTTAAAAATAATTTAAGGGCGGCCATTTTTGTTCCTTGCTCTTGTGGCAAATATTATGCTGGGCTGCCCCCTCAGAATTTAAATATATTTTAAACCTCTTTCTCTTTCCTACCCCCCATTTTTATATTTTAAAGGGGGGGGAGGGGAAAAAGTTAAAAAGGAGTTTTTCCCTCTTTTTGAATCCATGGGACTTTTTCAGGCTGTTCTTTTTTGACTGAGGTGATCTGAAAGGGGGGGGGAGAGGAATTTTGTGTGTGGTGAAGGGGGGTTGTTCCCCCCTTCTCTCTCTCTCTGTTTCCCTGCCCCCCCCAGCACCACCATGGCTTCCCCTCTGAGGGAGGACGAGGAAGAGGAGGAGGAGATGGTGGTGTCTGAGGTGGAGGGGGATGAAGAAGAAGAGGAGGAAGAGGAGGAGGAAGAAGGAGCAGGGGACAACAGCCCAGGCGACATATTCCCGCCTGCTGCTGCTCCACTGGCACCAGCACCAGCAGCATCCACCCCACTAGCCGCTGAGGCGCCTCCAGGTAAACAACCCTCCCCCCTTCACCCCAGAGCCGGGCGCCAAAACACCCCCCACTCTCCCTTCAACGGCTTTCGAATGTTGGCGGGGGGGAATTGTTTGTAAACAAGCAACGGTTGCGGAACGTTGAGGGGCCGAGAGTTCCGACTTCCCTCCCCCCACAGTCCCAGCCGCCGCGCGCGCTGCCCAACGGCTGCGGAACGTTGAGGGGCCGAGAGTTCGCACCCTGCCCCTCGCCCGCTGCCCAACAGCAGTGGAACGTTGAGGGGCCGAGAGTTCACCCCCGCCCTCCGTCCTCCCCCCCGCAAGCGCGCGCGCTGCCCAGAGGGGAGAGTTTCCAGCCCCCCCTGTTTCCCCTCTTTGGATCATTGACGGGCCGAGAGTTCCGACACCCCCTTACCCCCCCCCCGCTCGCGCTGCCCAACGGCTTTGATAACGCTGAGGGGCCGAGAGTTCATCCTCCCCTCCCCCTTGCGCGTTGCCCAAAGGCTTTGGAACGTTAAGGTGGGGTACGAGAGTTTCTAATCCCCCTCCCCGCGCGCGCTGCCCAGTGGCTTTGGAACATTGACGGGGGGGGGAGAGATTCTAGTTTCCACCCGCCGCCGCCGCCCGCGTTTCGAACGTTCAGGATGGGGGAAGGGTGCAGGCAATTGGTCTTGAAGTGTCCTCCCCAGAAGTGGGGCCCGATGCCCCTCCCTCACTTCCAATGAAGAAGGGGACCTACCCTCCCCCCCCGAAAGTGGGGAGGCAGCACAGAGCCCCCCCCCTTAAAGTGCCCCTCTGCCTGTGAGTTGGTTCATGCCCCTCCTGGGGTAAAGGGGAGCAGAGGAGGGTTCCCCAGCCCCAGAGATGAGGGCAGCTCTATCAGTGGAGGTGGATGGGCCACCACATGGCACTCTCCCCATCCCCAGCCCCCACAGGGGTAAGCAGGGCTGATCTGGACAGGGTTTCTGGGATGGTGGGTGCTTGGTGCAAGGGTGTGTGATCTTGGCAACTGGTGGGCAGAATGGGGCATGCTGGGCGTTGGCAGGAGTGTTTGGTGCCCTGGTGGACAGGCTGTGATGTATTGGAGGTTAGCAGGAGTGTGGGGTGGTTGCCTGATCGGCAATATTGGGCCTTCAGGACATTGGCAGGAGAGGGGGTACTTGGTGCCCACTGGGCAGGACAGGGCCTGCTAGTGGGAGTGGGGGATGCTGGGTTCTGGTAGGAGTGTGGGGGGGGGCGGGGGTTGGCCATCTGGTATCTGGTGGGCAGGATGGGGCCTTGTGCTCAGTTGGCAGCTATGGAGGACACCTGGCAGGCAGGACAGGCCACATGGGTCATTGGTGGGGAGGGAACCTCGAGGAACCAGCCACCTGGGAGAGGGCTTGATGCCCTGTGTGATCAGTTGGGGAGGGGGCTTGGGAACCTGTAGGGTTTGGCCTGCTGGTATTGAGGTGATAGGTGGCTTTTGGCCCTCTGATTAGTGGTACTTTCTTGGGGATGGGACCCCGGGGGAGTAGATAGCAAATAGGGCTCCACACCCTACTTGACTTGTGCCTTACAGGATGGGCCCCCTTAGCAGTGGTGCAGTGAAGAGGGATGGGCTCTCTGCAGGGGGAGGGCATGTCAGTAGTGCAGATGACTCTGCTGTCCACAGGACGTGGCCATGTTGGTTACCTAGACCTGGGCATGGCTGTGTCTTGTGGGGTGGGGGTCAGTAACTAGCTTATGTGGAGAAGAGTTGGCACCCCTCTGAATAGAGTTGCATCACCTGAGATGGGATGGGGCCCGTTACTCTCAGCAGAAATGGATGGGTCAGGACTACATTGTCATAGCGGGAGCAGAGGGTGATATGAGGATAGGGGTAGTCAGTTGTGGTGGGAGTGGGATGGGTCAGGGCCATGTTGGCTGTGGCAAGAGCGGAGGGTGATTTGAGGACAGGATTAATTGAAAGCAAGGAGTGGCTGGGTCAGGGCCAGGTTGTGGCGGGAGCGGAGGGTGACTTGAGACCACGGTTAATCGGAAGCAGGGGAATGGGTGAGTCAGGGCTAGGGTTCCCTGTAAGCTATGCGCTTGGACAGCCACCCAGAGAGATTCAAATACTGCCCAGCTGATTAGCAGAGTGCCCACAGCCAGCAGCATGTGTTTCCACTGGTGATGTACTTTAACAAAATGTATTCTGCACATGGATGGAAATAATTAGAGGGAAAATTGGAGAGGGCCAGGTTGAATGTGGTGAGAGGTAGAGAGTGACTTCAGGACATGGTGGGAGTGGTCAGGTCAGGGTTAGGTTGAATGTGGTGGCTGCCTTGAGGGACTGGCTTGTGTGTCAGCCAAGTTAGGAGTGAAGGGAGTCACTGCCTCATGGGAAAAGGCCTTGTTTGGCAGCTTGCCATTGACTTCTGTTTTTGCCCTACGAGCTGTCAGTATTCTGCATGTATAACTGACTTGCTTCCTACTTCATGGCACCCACCACCTTGGTATCGGAGTACTGCATGGTGTAAAAAGCACATTTAGTGATTTCAGAATGATTTAACCAATGGCTTTTATCCTTAAAAATAATGAGAGTATTTGCTTGCTGCAAAACAAATCTCTCTCCAGATTCTCTTTGATTTGTTCTCCTTTATAAAGAAAAGCTCAGGCATGTGAGGGAAAGGAAGCTTAAGGAATGGAAGGAGCTGAGAGAAAAAGAAAGGGTGGGTGTAAAATGACACTGGTTTTCCCTCACCCTTTGTTGTTGCCATAATTATTAATTTATTATTATTACAGTAACATGGATTCACTAATCATGGATCAAGGCCCCTTTCTCTTAGGCAGTTGACACCTGCCTAGAAAATAGATGGTCTCTGTCGCAAGAATGTACAATCTAAGACAGTGATTTTGCAAAGACTCATCATTCACCCTACATCATGTGAAAAATGTGCAGGTCTTTTGCCTTAATCTGAATTTACAATCTCTCTCCCAACTGTGTTATTCTCAGCAGTAGGGTCTTTCTGCATATTAGCTGATAAACAATCAGTGCAGAGAGAGAAAATATGCTTATTAGGGATGTAAAATTCCATTTAATTAGTTAACTGGTTAAATGTTAAGTTTAAGTGGTTAACCTGTTAAACGGGTGAACGTGTGTGTGTGTGTGTGTGCGCGCGCGTGTGCATGCATGCTCCAGCCTCCACCGGTTAATCGTACTGTTAAGTCTCCCCAGTTAAGGGTGAAGCTTACCAGTTAACTAATTAAAACATCCCTAATGCTTATTAGTTTCAGTCTTCTAGGGAAAGGAATTGTGACTAAAAAAAGAGAAACCAATATTTTTCTGTCACCAAATTTGATCTCCAAGTCCCCAAAGTCACTATGTTTTCCCTTGATTTAATACGTGTTAATTATTTTAATGTAAGGGGGCAGTTATTGACGTAAAGGGAAAAACCTCTATTTTCCCCGACTTTCCTTCTTAGCATTCCCTGAGTGATTGAAACAAATGATCGTTAAATATATTAAAACACATTCAGTACTTTCAAAACACTGGGGTTTTGATCCTGGAGTGACTTGGGTGAGTAACTTTGCTCATGGAAGCCATTCCATTGACTTCAGAGTGTAAATCAAGTTTCTTGTATGTTAAATCATGCCTGGAAGACACGTTTCAGAAGTTTTTAGGTACCTAACACCAGTTGATCGGGGCCTAAGTGATGCATTAATGAACTTATATCTCAATGCTGTAGGGTTCTAAATGGCTGAAATGGACATTTATGTTCCTAAATTATTTAGGCTATCCAGAAACTTGACTTTTGTAAAATCTCACAGGCCCACATCCTGTGATGCTCTGTGCATGAGCAAAGACAATTACAGGTTTGGGGGCAAGGTAGGTTGCTAAATAAAACAAACCATTTGGTCTAGCAGGTAGTGCATTTGATTAGGACTCAAGAGAGCCATGTTCAAATCTTGTCTCTGGCCTGCTGGAGACCTTTAGATGAGCCACTTTCCTGACCTATACCTTAGTTTTCCTATCTGTGAAATTAGGTTAAAGATACTGGCCTGCTTTGGAAAGCACTTTGAAATCTACTGTAGAAAAGAGCTAAGGGTAATGATAAAGTGAAGGAAAGATTGGTAGGTTTACAACCTGAAAGGTGTAGCTAATTTAAAGGCTTTGTCTACACTTAAAAGTTTAAAGTGCAGCCGCAGCAGTGCTTTAAACTGGAAGTGTGGCCATGATACAAGCACGGGGAGAGAGATTGCCAGATGCTCTAGGACTAGGTACACCATCTCTGTGAAGGAAGTAGCTAATGCTCCCACTGTTATAGCCTGGTTCAAAGCTTTGCAGTGTTGTAATTTGCTGCACTGTATGTGTGGGGAGTGTTTTTTCATATCCCTGGGACATAAAGTTACAGCTCTGTAAAGTGCCCATGTAGACTTAGCCTAAGAAACTTAAGCAAAAGAATCTGTTCCTAAGATAACTGTATGGCTTTGCTTTGTGTTTATTTGTATTTGAGTACAGGCTGTCAATCAGAGCCTCCTTGAGCTAGGCACTGCATTGGGTAGGACCCAAACCTGCAAGTCTTCTCAGCCTTAAGGCTTTATCATTGAAATCCCGGCTCTGTTGAAATCAGTGGGAATTTTGCCTTTGTCCTCAGTGAAGTCAGGATTTTGGCTGTAATTTTTAACTTCTAAACTTTTCCAAATCAGGAAGATAGAAGATCACAGGTAGGGATGTTAAATTTTGGTTATCTGGTTAATTGTGTAGTTGATACAACTTGTATCGACTGCATGATTAGTTGATAAGGACTGCTCTGCAGAGCCACAGTGGGGGTAGCTCCAGGAGCTGGTTTGAGCCAGGACTGAGAACTCCCAGCTTATGCCGGCTCTGGGAGCCACCCGCGTTACGGCTCAGCATTTTAAATGTAGTAAGAGCCACCAGGCTTTTACTACATTTAAAATGCAGAGGCACCGTGTCCTGGAGCAGCGTGAGTGAGGGCGGCTCAGTCCTGGCTCGCACTGAGTCCAGCAGTCCCTGTTTGCAGCAGACAGGAGCTC